GTTTCAAAAGTACCGGTTTGGCACCGGTATCGGATAAAACCTAAACGATACCCATCCCTAATCATGAACCATGGCGTAGTTTTTAAAATGTAAAAAAGTCTTTATGTGCTTAATGATTAGGTCTTAGCAGAGAACAAGTCAAATTAAAGATCTGAATTAAGTTGTGGTTTGCTGATGTTCCTTTAATGGCCAAGAGAGGCTGCTAAAAACTGTCTTTGTATTAAAAACGTATGAAAATTAACAGAGAAACGCTTTTAAAAACCTTCACTGGAGTCCGTTTCCCCAACTGTAATGATCTAAGTACATATAAGATTATTCTGTGTTTTACAACCATGAGAGCAGCCACATGTTTGATGTCACAAAAAAAAGAAAGAAAATACAAAGTCTAATCTTTTTCAGATTTGGGAGGATTCACGGTCTGCAGTGTGGGCGGAGCCAATGTGTTGTTAACAGTCAGACTAAGGTTATCACATTTACAGTGTAGTTAAAACACACACACACATAAATCATCATGAAATCAGTACTCAAACTTAACCACGTGATGCCAAACGCTCTGAAACAAACATGAATCAAATAACTAATCATTTGCAGGCAGCAGTGACGATATACTAGCGTCTCAATAAAGATCACACTGTCAAATAAATATGAAATTCAAGGTTATTTCTCCCCCCGAAGCACGTGAAGTCGAAGAGCTGCCTCACCTGAGCAGGTTCACCTGAACAAACAAGTCCAAATGCACCTCAGTGCGGCGTGAGAGCAGAAGCACACCTGCACTTGGAGCCCAACAGCTTCTGTGGTCAGTTTAACGTTTCACCGTCACTCACTCAGTATCTCTGTGCGGTTTTCACATTTAAAACATCTGGAGGTTCACCTGCTCAGGCGGGGCCACAGAAACGTGTCACCTGTCATGTGTTCACGCCCCCAGAGTCGGAGTAGTGACGACAGGTTTCAACGCCAGAAACACTTTTCAGTCTTTTTTATCTCCAATTTGCTGCTGTTTATAGATTTTCCAGCTTCTCTGCAGTCTGTTGTTTCACTTCGTATTGCCTCATAAAAACTTTTATATCATTTTATTTTAGTCTAAAAGGGAAATAAAAATATTAAAGTCGCATTCAAACAGTCAACAGAGGCACATTACCAAAAATAGTCCAAAAAATGGTGAAAATATCAGATAAACGGAGTCCCGAGAGTGCCACTAAAAAAAAGAAGCACATTAAAAAAAATGTTTAATTATAATAAATTTGTAATTTCATTCATATGAAATAATTCACAAGTTAACTTGAAATTTTATTTGAAACACTACAAACCAAACCAAAAAAAAGTACTAATAAAACTTTATAATAATTTTTATTTCTAACATTTTTTTCATAAAAATAATAACTTTATCAAAATAATTTAAAAAACTCTCTTAACCCTCTTAACCCTAAATATCCCACTACTTTAACCCCGTGTTTAAGAGAAAAATAAACATACTTCAAACACTCTGTTTTTGATATTTATTAGAAAGAATTTCTTCTTCCTGACTATAAAAATTTGGGACAAAAATAATTTTGAAAACCAGAAAATGACACGTTCTCACAGGATGGGGTTAGACAGCAAACAATAAAGAAAACAATCTGAAGAATATTTATACTGTCATAATATTATTATTTAGACTTTCTTAAATATCTATTTAATCCTTATTGCATAGCTTAGCCAGTTTAATATTTTTGTTGTTATAAGTTTGATTATTATTATTAAACACTAAAAAATATAATATTTAATTTGGCACCTTGCAGACTCCCTACAGTCACCTGTATTTCTGCAGCTCAGCAGTCACACACACACACACACACTTTTTCTGGTAGAAAAATAAACCACAGTACGTGATGTGACGGGTCGGATGGATCTGAAGCAGAATCATCAGGCAGCAGAAATTTGAAATTTGCACAAAAAAAGAAAAAAACCCAGCGTTTCCACACATGTTGGTGGCGTGATGAGGCGTGATTCGTCGGGTTTACACGTTGATGGCGTGAGCGTGCTTCTTGCACAGAGGTTTATCTTTCTTTGAGTAGAAAGGCTGACCCTCGAGGTTCACGTGGCAGACCTGCAGACGAGAAAACCAGGGTGAAAAACTTCAAACTGACCGACCGGACCCCCTCAGACCTGCTGCTCGTGGTCCTTACCGCACAAACGAAGCAGGTATCGTGCCAGGTGTGACCCAGAGCCTCGATGAATTTATCGCCAGCTTCCACTGGGAAGTCGCAGCCATGACACTTAGTGCTGAACAGCGCGATGTAATCTGAGCGACACAGAAACAGGAAGTGTTGAAGATGGCAGCCGTGAGTCCAAAAACAGTGAATCTTGAAGTACGTAATCCCTGTTAATCTGTTTCACACACTTTGTTCTACTCTTGGATCTTTTTGATGTCACACAGGGCACACAGAAGCTCCACCTACTTGTTGTTTGTGGGGGCGGGGCCAATCAAAAGAAAGAGGAGTTAAAATTGAGGGGCTGCACTGAGTCTCTGATTAGCAGTTCCTTCTCTGAGCGTGATGCATGTGACGGTTTTTTGCGTCTGCCTGTCTGTGCAGCTTTTCTCGCAGCTGTGATGAAGGCGTGGTGTCGGCATACCTTTCTCGCAGTACGGCTCGCCGTCCTCCATGTGGAAGAGGCTGTTTCCAAAGGCTTTCCCACAGGCTGCGCACACAAAGCAGGTGGTGTGCCATGTCTGCCGTAGGGCGTGCATCACTTCCTGCGACATACAGCGTGACAAGACTTAATAAGGTCTAATCAGCCTCTAGTGTCACATACGGGTGGCATTTCAGTGCCAAACTTGTGGTTTTATAACATTAAATAAAGGAAAATAAAATCAGAAATGGTGTCTGAAAATTTCTCACCCCCATGATCTTGGTGTTGCAGCGAGCGCAGGTCGGGGCGAAAAACTCCTCGTAGCAGTTCTCACAGTACACGTTGTTCTGTTCCTCCACGAAGCTGACGTCGGCCAGAGACATGTGGCAGTAGTGACAGTTAAACTCCTCGGGGTGCCAGGACCGGCCAAGGGCCACCAGGAATGGACCCCTGCAACAACAGCAGCATCATTTTAAGAAATTTGATTTTAATTTGTCCTTAAAGTGACATCGTTTCATTAACGTCACTCGTTTTAACCCAAAGGAGGAGCCTCAGGAGCAAAATAATAAAGCACCAACAGCTGCAGTTCCTCTGATCTCCACTTGAGGCTCCAGAAGCGTGTCAGTGCGTTACCTGATGACGCTGTTGCAGGCCCCGCATAGAGGCGTGCGACTGCTGGCTGCAAACCTCTCCGCTCTTTGGGCCACGCCTCTGGCCACAGGTGGAAAGGGGGCGGGGCTAGAGGTCATGGGGCCAGGGCTGGGGGTGATGGGGGCGGGGCTGGGAGCTGCATGCCCAGCAGGGGAGGGGTTAGGGATGTACGCTGGTGGGGGAGGGGCGGCCTGGGGCAGTGGCTGCACCTTGATGGTGCTGGAGGTGGTCTTGCCGGGGTCGAACTTATCAGCGAAGTTTGAGTCGGTCACCCACGGGGGTCTGTTGGCGGATGGTGGAGCAGCCAGAAGCGGGGGCGGGGCGGCAGCTGGAGGGCGGGGCTGCGGTGGCACTGCAGCTGGAGCCATAGGTGGTGCTGTGGGTGAAGTATAAATATGTGTATATAAGCGTATATAAATATCATATGTGCAAGTTAATATAAACAAAACAGAAACTCACCTGGCTGTGAAGGGTAGATGCAGGCAGTACTGACTACCTTGGAGGGGGCGGAGCCAACAGGGATCTGAATTGAGCTCTGTTGAGTGGGTGGAGCCTGCTGTGTGGGTGGTTGTTGGTACTGCTGTGGCATTGGTTGATACTGCTGTGGGGGCAGAGCTTGTGGAGCTTGCTGCATAGGTGCATGTTGGTATTGCTGTGGTATTGGCTGGTACTGCTGTGGGTGTGGAACTTGTGGCGCCGGCTGCATGGTAGGAGGTGCACCGTACTGGCTGGAGAGGGAAAGAAATGTCATTATTACCTATTCAGAATGATTTCCAAATGGTTCCGTCATCAGGTTCAGTTTTGTAATTGGGGGCTCGTCCGGGATTTTTAGTCATAGTGAGCCTCAAGTAGTTAGCCTCAGTGGTAGTTATGGTATTAACTCAAAAAAACTTTAACTAAGCTAAGCATGTTTCGAACCACAAGCTAAGTTAGTCATCAACACTGATTCAAATTATAATCTCATCAATGGGTGTAAAGATCCTGATGAGTTTTTCATTGTTGTGTCTGACTTTTAGGCTGTAACACTGCTATTAAGAATTTAATGCGTTCTTCCAGCAGTTTCCATCTAATATATGTGGAATTTACTAGATTTACTTTGACAAATATTCCAACATTTAATGAAGTTTTAGCTGATATTGTTGATGTCTTTGACTATGCTGGGTACATAGGAAATCTTCTGCAGAGCTTAGAGTCAAATAAATACTATATACATGTAGCATTTATATTATGTAGTCATTTATCCATGTGATTAGAGTGGATCAGAAACGCTTTTAAAAACTTTTTAAAAATTAATAGCTCCATCAGTGGAGCTATTAATATGAACTGCATTTCAACAATCAATTTAATTTCTAGCTAGCTTTTCTAGAGCACATTTAACTATTTTCACTTTTTCGATATATTTATGAATTTTCAGCTAAAAAATGACCCATAACGTTGAACTCTTTCAGCAGTTTTGTTGATTTTAGTGTTAACCATGTGCTTTTCGGGTTTAGGTAACTGTTTCTGCTGGTTTTAAATTTCTCTCTAAACTGTTTAACTAACCTTTCTTCTATTTTTTGTGAATATGGCGGTTAGGGTTAGTCTAGGCTTCCAAGCTGAGGTGCAGATACTCACTGTTTTTAAACAGAAACCTCTACAGACCACATTCAGGTTTGGTTTGCATTCTGGACTGAGTCAAAAATGCTCTTAAACTTGTTCTAACTGTGAATTGTCATCTGAATATAGTTGCAGTAAACAGTGATTACAGCCAGGCTGCTGGACTGTTTTATGAATCAAAAATTTAATTTGTGAGCCAAAAGTTGGGCTTTGGAGTGATTCGAATGTTTCTGATGTTTTTACACTCTCTGGATGTGTCAATATAATATTGTCACAGACAACAAGCATATAGAAACTAGCATCAACAGCTTGTTTCAGAGAAAGAATAAAATGTTGAGCAGGACAGAAGCACAAAGTGTTCTCTTTCAAGAAGTGTTGACAGGTTTTGGGGTGTAAACCTGCAGTTTTTCTTTCTGGGGGTATCAGCCTCAGGTCTGGGTGTTTAGCAGCAGCTTAGCTGTATCAGACTTACCTGATGTAAACAAGGTTAGTGTTAGGGTAGAGGGCTTCAAACCAAAACTGAGTTCAGCTTCATTAACAAACAGCAACAAAAGCTCCTCCTCCTTCAGAGGGC